TTTCCATTCATTAAAGGTATAATCCATTAAAAACACGGTAAGATTTGCCATTTACTTCAGTGGAATTTGAGTTGCAACCTTACAGTGCAGTCTTGTGTTTTACACAGGCATGCCTTTAAATTCAATGTGATTTATAACTAGGTAAATGCATGTAACTGGTTGAAATGTTTTAGTTTTCCATAATCTGAGCTAATTAGAAAAAGAGAAGCATAAGCTTCAAATGAGGCTCATTGAAACTACATACACATATGTAAATGTTTGCAACACTTACACAAATAAATCTTAAATAATCTACAGTTATATTTCTTTTTAATTTGATACTTCAACCATGCCTCAGGAAAGAATACAGGAAATGTAGGCAGAAAATCCAGAAGGAATGACCTTTTGATAAAATGAATGTTTACATCAATGCAACATGGATTTTGCAGAGTTAATACTCAGACTCTTCTCAATTAGAAAGTGTAGACTGACTCTCTCTCTCTCTCCTCTCTCTCTCTCTCTCCTCTCTCTCTCTTTAATTGCTTCTAAACAAGGAAGATATCTAGACTGTAATGGTGTAATGGGGTTTAAACATTACACAACTTTGTCAGACTGAAATTTTATATATATATATATTTATATATATATATAGTGTGTGTGTGTGTGTGTGTGTGTGTGTGTGTAAATTGTACCCCCCTGGCCACTTAACAAAACTATTTTCCCATACACCTTGGGTTTCCAGTTCTTTTAAAACTGCATGACAGGAAGGAATTCAGTAGATGAACTGCTTCAACATGCAGTGATACAGAAATATATACTTTCCCCTCAAATTTTCAGCTATTAAAAGTAAAGCTAAGCTGAAATTTCTCGTGACTTTTTCTTTTTTAACATCTGATATTTTTGTTTTTGACAGACACACTTCCACATCATCCTACCTTGCATGAGATGGCACCCCCGGGGTAGCATTGTTAATCCAGGAGGATTGCTCTTTCATGGCTCTGCCAGCACCATTGATCTCTGGCACTGAATGTGTTGGCCTGGTGTGGGGCACCAAGGAGAGCTTGGCTGTCTGGCTGGTGTACCAACCATCAAGCACACTGGCAGCCACCCTGTCAGGCCTGCTGGAGGTGGTGGCAGGCTGGGCCTTGGAGTTCCCTAACCCAGTGTTTCCCAACCGGTGTTCCGCGGCACACTAGTGTGCCGCCAGACGTTGCCTGGTGTGCCGCGGGAAAAATTGGCGGGGGGGGGAATAAAGGAGAAAAAAATTATTCCCCCACCGCCAGGCGTGGGGCTGGGGCGGGGGAAGCCCGAGCTTCCCCCTCCCCCAGAACGGGACCCAGAGCCATGCCGAAGCTGCGCGCAGCTTTGGCATCGCTCTGGGAGCTTGCGGGGCTGGGGGAGGAGGAACCCCTCCGCCAGCCTCCAAACCATGTCGGGAGACAGCGGGATGGCGCGTTGCGCCTCTCCCGCTGTCCCCCGAGTTTGCGGGGCTGGCGACGGGGAGGAGCAGGCTTCTCCCCCCGCCAGCCTTCCAGCCAAGTCGGGGGGCAGCGGCAAGGGCGCGCTGTGCCTCTCCCGCTGTCCCCCGAGTTTGCAGGGCTGGCGATGGGGAGGAGCAGGCTTCTCCCCCCGCCAGCCTTCCAGCCAAGTCGGGGGGCAGCGGCAAGGGCGCGCTGTGCCTCTCCCGCTGTCCCCCGAGTTTGCAGGGCTGGCGATGGGGAGGAGCAGGCTTCTCCCCCGCCAGCCTTCCAGCCAAGTCGGGGGGCAGCGGCAAGGGCGCGCTGTGCCTCTCCCGCTGTCCCCCGAGTTTGCGGGGCTGGCGATGGGGAGGAGCAGGCTTCTCCCCCCGCCAGCCTTCCAGCCAAGTCGGGGGGCAGCGGCAAGGGCGCGCTGCGCCTCTCCCGCTGTCCCCCGAGTTTGCGGGGCTGGCGATGGGGAGGAGCAGGCTTCTCCCCCCGCCAGCCTTCCAGCCAAGTCGGGGGGCAGCGGCAAGGGCGCGCTGCGCCTCTCCCGCTGTCCCCCGAGTTTGCAGGGCTGGCGATGGGGAGGAGCAGGCTTCTCCCCCCGCCAGCCTTCCAGCCAAGTCGGGGGGCAGCGGCAAGGGCGCGCTGCGCCTCTCCCGCTGTCCCCCGAGTTTGCGGGGCTGGCGATGGGGAGGAGCAGGCTTCTCCCCCCGCCAGCCTTCCAGCCAAGTCGGGGGGCAGCGGCAAGGGCGCGCTGCGCCTCTCCCGCTGTCCCCCGAGTTTGCGGGGCTGGCGATGGGGAGGAGCAGGCTTCTCCCCCCGCCAGCCTTCCAGCCAAGTCGGGGGGCAGCGGCAAGGGCGCGCTGCGCCTCTCCCGCTGTCCCCCGAGTTTGCGGGGCTGGCGATGGGGAGGAGCAGGCTTCTCCCCCCGCCAGCCTTCCAGCCAAGTCGGGGGGCAGCGGCAAGGGCGTGCTGCGCCTCTCCCGCTGTCCCCCGAGTTTGCGGGGCTGGCGATGGGGAGGAGCAGGCTTCTCCCCCCGCCAGCCTTCCAGCCAAGTCGGGGGGCAGCGGCAAGGGCGCGCTGTGCCTCTCCCGCTGTCCCCCGAGTTTGCAGGGCTGGCGATGGGGAGGAGCAGGCTTCTCCCCCCGCCAGCCTTCCAGCCAAGTTGGGGGGCAGCGGCAAGGGCGCGCTGTGCCTCTCCCGCTGTCCCCCGAGTTTGCGGGGCTGGCGATGGGGAGGAGCAGGCTTCTCCCTCTGCCAGCCTTCCAGCCAAGTCGGGGGGCAGCGGCAAGGGCGCGCTGTGCCTCTCCCGCTGTCCCCCGAGTTTGCAGGGTTGGCGATGGGGAGGAGCAGGCTTTTCCCCCCGCCAGCCTTCCAGCCAAGTCGGGGGGCAGCGGCAAGGGCGCGCTGTGCCTCTCCCGCTGTCCCCCGAGTTTGCGGGGCTGGCGATGGGGAGGAGCAGGCTTCTCCCCCCGCCAGCCTTCCAGCCAAGTCGGGGGGCAGCGGCAAGGGCGTGCTGTGCCTCTCCCGCTGTCCCCCGAGTTTGCGGGGCTGGCGATGGGGAGGAGCAGGCTTCTCCCCCTGCCAGCCTTCCAGCCAAGTCGGGGGGCAGCGGCAAGGGCGCGCTGCGTTTCTCCGCTGTCCCGGACGGCTTTCAAAAGCCTGCCTTCAAAAGCCGTCCGGGACAGCGGAGAAACGCGCTGCCTTTCTCCGCTCTCCCGGGAAGGCAGGCAGGGGGGAGCAAAGACTTTCGCCCCCGCCCACCTTCAGAAGAGGTCCAGGACCTCTTCTGAAGGCGGGCGGGGGGCGAAAATCTTTGTCCCCCCTGCCTGCCTTCCCAGGGGCTTTTAAATCGCCCCGGACAGCGGAGAAGTCCTCCGCTGTCCCGGGCGATTTTAAAATGCCGCCCGCCAGCATTTTAAGATTGCCCCGGACAGCGGAGAAGTCCTCCGCTGTCCCGGGGTTTTTTAAAATGCTGGGGGTGGGAAGAAAAGCCCTTGTCCCCCCCCCAGCCTTCAGAAGAGGTCGGGGGACAGACTGTCCCCGGACCTGGTCTGAAGGCGGTTTCCCTAGGAACGCATTAATTGATTTTCAATGCATTCCTATGGGAAACCGTGCATCGCAAGACGGGGCTGGTGGTGCGAGCTTCAGAATAAGTGGGATCCGCGTGCGCGAGACCGAGATCGCGGGTAAGGAGCTCAGCCCTGGGCAGGAGGAAGCGGGGCCACGCGTGCGGGCCACATCCCCACAGAGAGCGAGCCTCCCCCGGCCCACCACTCCGGGCAGGTCCACTCGCATGAGGGGGCGGCGATGGCGACGGCCGGCAGCTTGCCTGCAATGCCATCCCTCGAGCAGGCGAGGAGCCCGGAGGCTACCAGATGCGAGTCCTCTTTCCCACCCTGCTCGGGAGTCCAGAGCACTTGGTCGCATTCAGGATCTAGAGTGGGGAAGCGGGGCTTGTGTCTGGGCTGGACACATTGGGCTGCCTGTGCCGCTCGACCTGCGGGGAGAAATCAGGGTGGGAGTCACGACCGTGAGGCAGGGCTGCCAAGTGTGGCAGAAGAGGACACGGCCGTCGCACCTGTCCTTAGGTAGGAGCTTCTTCCGTGTCGACCTGCTGCCCTAAAGTCTTGGCTTTTTTCTTGGCTTTTTGGCGGTTGGCACAGAAGGAAGGCAAGGGGGAGGGGAAAAAATTGAAACTTACACTTTCGTGCGTCCCTCCCGGCATGACGCTGCGCGCTGACGTCACGGGGCTGTAATGGTGGTGTGCCTCGAGATTTTTTTCATGAAACAAGTGTGCCTTTGCCCAAAAAAGGTTGGGAAACACTGCCCTAACCTATTGGTTCTGGGGGACTTCAACGTTCATGCTGATGCCATCCCCTCCTCTCAGGCTCTGGACCTGGTGTCTTCCATGGCGACATTAGGGCTCTCCCAGTTTGTTTTGGGTCCCACACATCAAGCAGGCCACACGCTGGATCTGATCTTTGGGGCGGGTATAGTGATCATGTCCCCCCTTGTGGAAGTGCCATGGTCTGATCACTACGCTCTGAAAGCCAGGATTGACTCCCCCTCCCCCCCCCCGCTTGGGTGGCGAACCTATTTGGGCTCGCCCGCAGAGGCTGATGGATCCTGATGGATTTCATCAGGCCTTGCGGGACCCTGCTCCCCCTGGTGGCTCACTAGATGAGCTTGTCGAGAACTGGAATAACCGGCTCTGCCTAAAATCACTGTTTCAGGTTTTTCTAGTGGTGATAGCCAATGGAACAACAACTGGTGATGATGGAATCCCCTCACCAGCATTGCTCCTTTCCCTGGGCAGAGAGAAACCTACATGCCATCCTAAGTTTCCAAATGTAATGCCAGATTCACCAATGGCCAATAGTATTTTTATTGAAGGCGTTTTCACACACATTTTCACACATAAGAAGAACTTGCAGGATGTCACTGCATCAGGGGGGCAAATCTGGATACTATTGGCTGTAACACATGTCAAAATACTTGCAAAAAGATTTTCGGATGCCTTGATAACTTCCTGTTTTGTACTATGTGTCTTACAGAATTCCTCTGTGCCCCACCGGAATACCTTTTGTCATAAGCAGAAAACACAGGAAGTGCTCCAAACAGGAAGAGGTAGGACAAAACTTTCCATCTGTTAAATTGTTACAAGGCCCATTGTTTTTAGTAACTGTGGTCAAGACAGTACTGTACTAGAAAACCGTAGCACACCATTTTGGCTTTGTTTACAACTATTTGTCTACCATCCTTTACTAGTCTTACAACTTGATTTTCATTTTTAAAATATTTTTTAAAATATTTTACTTTTTTCTATCATTTTAAAAAGATGTAATATGTTTAGGTTTTCATTTTTTTTAAATAACCATCATTTGCAGAATTTCCTTGCTCACATTCCTTTAGACTGCACCAGTCTGGTACTGGAGTAAAATGTACCTCAAAATGTACCAGCAAGTAAATAATAATAATTAAATCATGTCAACACTGAGACTTTATCTTCTCCAGTAAAACAGTTTTGTTACATGCAAGTCATTTGGGTGAACAACACCCACAAGGTAAAGTACAAAAACCTAGGCAGTATGTGCAGTCTAAATTGACCTGACAGTTTTTTAAACATGAAAATATATTGCTGAAGTATAGAAGTGCAATAATAGTGAGTTATGGGAACAAGAAGAGAGCCAGTGTGGTGTAGTGGTTAAGAGCAGTGGGCTCATAATCTGGTGAACCGGGTTTGCGTCCCTGCTCCTCCACATGCAGCTGCTGGGTGACTTTGGGCTAGTTACACTTCTCTGAAGTCTCTCAGCCTCACTCACCTCACAGAGTGTTTGTTGTGGGGGAGGAAGGGAAAGGAGATTGTTAGCCACTTTGAGACTCCTTAGGGTAGTGATAAAGCGGGATATCAAATCCAAACTCTTATTCTTATTGTTAAATCTCATGGGCTTAGCAGCCATATCACATGTACTTGAGCAGCTATGTACAATCAACACATTTCACAAATGGATTAATTGTAGGACATAAAACACATTGTTGCTGTGATTTTCTGATATTGTATCAAACGTCCCCAAGCTAGGGCCTGTGAGCCGGATAAGGCCCAAGGGACTTGTTTATCCGGCCCACAGTGACCCCCATTGCCCACTGAGGCCGCCTGCTCTTACCAGCGCTGCACTGCGCAGCTGCCCACTTCCGGGTCAGAGGAGCAGTGGAAATAGCTTGTGTGCATGCGCAAGCGTTATTTCTGGTGCACATCCGGGTCGGGGGAGGCTCATGCACATGCACACAAGCTATTTCCGGTGTTCCTCCAACCCGGAAGTGCGCCAGAAATAGTGTGTGCGCGCACATATGGGCACACACTCCTCGCGCTACGGCCTGCCGCGTGATCGGTGCTGGAGACACCGGCCTGAGGCGCAGTAAGTTTGCTGACCCCTGGTATAGATGACTCTTCCCTTTTTCTTGGTGCTAACAGTGACAATCCCTACCAATGGCTCTGTGTCTAGACTCACCCAGAATTTGATCAACTTCAGTCCTAGTTCTACTAGGAAGAGAAATATATTTTGGAACATGCACGTCATTGTGGGTAATTCAGTATGGGCATTTAAGCAGATATTGCCTACCATATTTGAAAATGCAGACCCAATTGACCACTGTTCACACATTCTGAAGTGTATATAAGGACCAGTTCACCAGCTCATCCACACCACCCTGAGCTTTATTAAAATGAAGAATGTTTTCTGAGTTGAAAGTTTAGTCTGAGATCTCTGTATCATTATGCATTGAAGGAACAAGAATCACTGCCCTTCCTTTCTTTGGAAACTCACGTGTGAAATCTTAAAAACCAAAAATGTTGCTGTGGACATTTCTGGTTTGTGGTCAAGAAACTGCAATTGGATTTCTGTTTTTATGGTTTTTCCCCGATCTGCCAACTAGCATCCGGTTTGTCATAGCTAATCCATTGGTCAGTAGTGGAGAACTTATCAGTTATATTTCATCCATGTGTTGTTACATTTCTCAGCCTCTGTCTGGTCTTTGCATGCTCTTTCTTCCTCAGATATATATATGTATCATAAAAAATGGTGTTTTGAAATTGCAATGTAGTCAGAATTTTATGCCATATTTCCATGTTTGAATGGAATATGCTGCCTCATTGGCCATCCTCCTTTGAATAGCACTAATTGCTCATCAGTTGTAGTATTCTCAAATGGCACAAAACACAGTAGAAGTTTGTTAGCAAACATATCCCAAAGGTCACACATAGGGGCAAGTTGGTCTCTTCCATTGGTGATTCATACTGAAGCTGAATCTTAGGGATTCTTTTGAAGGAGGCTAGTGACATTGTGCTCCAGACATGTTGGGGGAAAGTCTCAACAAATTTTGCAGAGGGGTCATCTAAAAGAGTTGTCATACTCTTGGGCTGGGATGTTGGTTTTTTGGGAGGGGAGGGATGGTTGTTATGGATATTAATGTTGTTCAGTCTGGTTGTGTATTTATTGATATTTTATTTATTGATGTTTGATTTATTGTTTATTACTACTTTTGTTATGTGATAATTATGTATTTTTTCATGTTGTAAGCCACCTTGAGCATGGTTTGAACTATGGAAAGGTGGCATATAAATAAAATGATGTGTGTATGTGTGTATATAGTGTGTATGCAGGTTGCTTGCAAACATGTGCAGATCAGCTGAGATTCGAATGACCCCAAAAGCCAGAATAGTATGTTTTGTGTAAAACAATGGCTAAGATGAAAAACCATTTTGCTGGGTCACAGGTAAGGATCTAACTGGTGGGATATGTTACAATAATTCAGGTTTGTCAAGGAGTTTCACATGATGCTAAGGGAAGTAGTGATCTGTCTATTATGAAAAAGCACCTGTTGCTATTATGAGTAACTAATAACTTTAAACAGCATTTTTGATCACTTTTTGCCCCTAGCACCCAGTAGAATAGTGGCAAAATTAGAAGTGCAGGGTCCCTTCATGATAGTCACAGTCATACTGCCTTCCAAAATTATACAATAATCTTTTAGTTATGCAGATCTCCATGTGTTTCATAGATCTACTATTTTCTGTGCATGTACATCAGCGAATTATTTGCAATGTTGTGTTTTCCTTGAAGTTGTATGTAACAAAACTTGCATACTATTCTCCTGAGACTGAAGCCCCTTGTGTTTTCAGTATGCCTAAATGCTTCACTTTAGAACATACAAAACTCCTCCTCTGCAGTGTTATTTCTGTGCTCCTTCTGCAGAGTGACCCTAGAAGCCAATTCTCAGTAGCTGACTCACCTCCTTTAACACTGGCTCCAATCAGCACAAAGAGTGAGAAGATTTCTCAGTGGCTAAAAAACTCCCCTTTCACGGTGCTCAGGTGGCTCAAGGATGCTGGAGGCTGGGACCTTACATAAGAAAGCTTTGCTAGCAACTTTTCCTCAGCCCTTCTGAAAAGGGTAGAATTTGAGCTTTCAGTAAATTAATGAGGCAGGCAAATGTCAATTTACAGATTGTTGATGATTATCTGGAATAGGGAGTCATGGAAGACTGACAAAAAAGTTTCATTCCCCCCCCCAAACTGTCATTGGTGTATTTGACCCCCAGTAAAGAGATTTAAAAGATAATAAATGAACATCTGGTGATGTGCTGTAAGGCAGAGAATTGAATGAAGCTGGGGGGAAATTGATATTACCGCCTAGGAATTTTCAGGGTCAAGCTAGACATGAAAGCAGCAGATCTGCTACATTTTTAAGGGCTAAATAAAGCTCCTGATACACCCTTTTGAGGACAGGGTATAGTTTTAACCCTTTCTCCATACCATTTCACTCATCTGAGTCCCCCCAGCTTCAAAACAGCAGCATTTATAACATGGAGGGAAATATAGGAGGGTCCCTGTATGTTTTGGCCCAAGAGGCAAATAGTTCCAGCAGGGTGATTTGGATTAGGAAGCTGGCATGGTGAGAAAGAATTCTCCCATGGCTCTGATCTGAATCAAGGCTCAGCGCGGCTCCATTTAATTTTTTTTTAAACCACAAGATATCTACTTAAATATCTCTGTTGTCTTTTCCAGTCGTACCGAGTCTAGTACCTAAAATGTCATATTAGTTGCTAGGAATTTGAAATATTTTTCCACCCTCAAGACTAGATTAGATTACTCTTTGGGTTCCTTCCAACCCTTATAAGACTGTCTAGAGCTAAATTTTGAGTTTGATACATTCACTTTTTTCTGTTTGTTGGAGTCAAACTATTACCATTTATCCCACTTGCCCACACCATTTCTTTCTTCCCTTTATCTAGTCTATGTATACACTTTTTTCCCCCTCTTTGTTCCACAACCTTTTAATGTAGACAATGAAGGAGACAAAATGCAAAAACAGAACAAATTAACGTACTAAACTTCATGATTTTATGAAGATCCATATTGTACCATGCTTTATCACAGCTGATATAAAGTGGGACCCTGCTGGATTGCAAAATCTTAATGCATATGGTATATATTAAAACACTGCAACTTTCTCTGTATCCACAATCCTAAAATTAAAAAGCCACTGAGTTATGATTATGTGTACTGTCCATGACTTTGAAGTATTTTATTTTTTAGCAATCTGGTGATCAGCAGGTCTTGATTATTTTGAACAGCATTTATGTAGCAACCATGGAGACTTGCAGTTGTACATGGTTAAACGCCCCTCGGCTATACCTCAATGAGTTTTCTCAATAGTAGCCAAGATTCCATAAATTCAGAGCTCATGAACCTTGAAAAAAGGATAAATGGGATTTGGTGAGACTAACATAGCAGCCACTTTTACCTTTAAAATGAAAAAGTGTGAGGGATTCATTTAAACTGGTTTTTGGGATTTACTAACTCAAAAATGAATTGTACTAGGAAGCTTTAAAAACTGAGGGCATATAGGGGTTATACATTCTTGTTATTTTCTGAGCATTAGTATGCAGAAATATATCATTTAGGGAATAAAAAAAAATCAGAGTTTATTGAGATGTAGCCCTCCCAACTCTTTCTTCTTTCATCCCCTTTCCTTTAACGCAGTGGCACACCACACATCCAAACTAGCAAACAATGGCCAGTGCAAGTAATAGTTTGTTGCATCTAGATAAAACAGCAAATTATGTGT